TATTGTCCAACATTAGATGGATAGAAAGGTGGTAGGTTGATTGAGCTTCCTCTCGGATTCTTCCTTGCCAATGCATAATTTAAGACTTTCTAATTTTTTGATGAGTATTTCTCGGAAAATACGACAAATACTTTTTTGAGTCAAACAAATTAATTAAAAATAGTATTAGTAAAAAACATGTAATTCTAATTACAATGTTTACTTAAATTAATTTAAAATACAAACAGTTTTTATCCATTTTAATTAACCATTGGAAAGCTGCTAAATTTCTCCATCCCTCTTACCTTGCATTTTATGTCACTTAAATCTTGAAATACTTTCTGCCTTTCTTTCTTTCAGCACCAGCAGCAGTAAAGTTTCAAGACAATCAAATTATTGCTAATGATAACGGTTGCGCATTTGTTCCAGTAGTTATGCTGCATTTTTCCCAAAAATCGTCTAAAATTATTGGCTGATTAAGTGAATATTGTAGCTAATTTTGTGCAATAAGGCTATGCTTAAAACTATTAAATAGTATTTTATTAATGTCAAAAATGGTTAGAAAGTAGAAAATTAGTACTTAATGCTTAAAAAATCGTTTTAAAAATAAAATTAAACGTGACAGAAAATATTTTCATGCATTTTTCAGTAAGCTAAATAATGACAATTTCTGCTCACAGTGATTGATCTAAGCGAACTAAACTAAGAGATCTGCTGGCGTTATTCATGTAATGAAAATGCGATGAAATTCATACAAAGTAGTGATCTGATCCTCCAGTGCTTGTTGAATTTAAAGCCGATTGAAAGTGTGATTGCTCGTGTCTGTCTATGTATTTTTTAATGCAAACTATAGCGCCAGGAAATAGCAGCGCGTACACAGGAATCAGTTGAACACCTGAAATTGAATCTGAAACTGAAAGGTTTTGTGGTAATACTTTGCCATTGCCACTCTATTTTTGTTTTGCTCTTTACAGAGTTGTGGTATTGCTAGCGTAGATAATGAGATAGTTGTGCATTCCATAATGTTTTCTAATTTAAGTGTGATATATACGATTTAAATTTGTACAGTGAAATTGAATTAAAAAATGTATTCAAGTTTTTATCTTTTTCAATTGCATTTTCAAGTTCAATTTTTTACTTTCTTGCCCGCTACAGTTTTCTGCGGTATGGAAGAAATTTTTTAGCAAAACATGCATATGAATATTGATAACTAGATAATTTCATGCAGAATTTAAAGCTAAAATAACAAACCTTCTATATAAAATGCAAATCGTTTTGTGGTTAAGTTGAAGTTTAATAAGTAATTTAATAATATCGCAGTTAAAAATATAGTTAAAAATAATGACTGAAATGCCAGAAGCGGTAACATTGTCTGAATAGACATGATATTTTCCTTGATCTGATAACGTTGCGACAAACTGAGCTGAGTGTTTTCACGGCGTATCCTCTACAAGAAGCTGACGATAAATCATTAAAGAAAAGTGACTGTTTGTCATTTTCTCATTTTTGTTAGAGTTTTGATCTGTCTCTTATTGTGTCAGGGTGTAACTAACCACTTACGCCTACTATACGTAAGTGGTATTTACGCTCATGATTGAAACTTCTTTAATAAAAATGCTTTCAATTTTTGAATAAACTCTTGTCAGGTTAAAAATGAAAGAGCCAGTCTATCGCGTTTATGATTGAAAAATTAGTGAGATAAATTTGTAATTGCCTTATTTGCGA